GGGGAACGTGCTGGCATACGTGGCAGAACAGTAGTGCGCCGTGGAGCCTCCGGCACTCCACGGCAACTTTTTCCTACGGCCTATCACGGATTCCGTAGAAGACCGTAGAAGACCGCAAAAGGACTTGTCAAGACTTGGATATAGAGGGGAAAATAACCAAAATCTCACGGCGCACTACGTTTCGGGCAAACGGGGCTGCCGTGGCTGCCGGGAACATAGTGTAAACGTAGCATTAATAAATTCGGAAACCATATTCCTCGTTACTTTTGACTTTTATATGTGTTCGGGAAGAGTCCTTGGAATACGGCTTTACTACTTCCGGTCCACAGCGCCGCTCACTTCCCTGTCAACATTCCCTCTTGTCCGATCAACGACAAAAAATACACGGTCAAAATTACACTGTATTAGTTAATTCTATGAAAGCAGTTTTGAATATGCTTCAAAGTATTTTTTAGTCATATTAAAACTACTTTTATTGATTTTACTTTCATGATGGATATCAAAACATTCGTCTCATTATGTGCAATCTTAATCCGTCCTTAGCTTTTTTGATGCTTTTACTCCGTTTCGAGAAAAGAAAATGGTTCTCGAAAACCTAACACTGTTATGAAAGAACTTCCAAGCCATTGGTAGTTTACCAGTGACTCGGGTACACAGTCATGACACTGTCTTTGTCACTGACCACTATATCTTAATTGTTTATTTTGTGGCAGATCGATCGGTGTTTTAAACAATGTAATAGTAGCTATTTCTTTTTCAAAACAATGTAATAGTAGCTAAGAGCTATCGATGAATTAAGATTATGCATAATAAGACAGTTATTTAAATATTCTTCATAGAAGTAAAATAATTAAAAGTAGTTATTATATGCTATAAAAATACATTGAGACATATTTTAGCATAAAACTCTTCTTATAAAAAAAACGAGTGAATAAATATTCCTGGGAAATAATGATCTTGATTGTATCGTCAAATTGGAAAATTAAATAAGTAGATTTTTCATTATGATAAGTAAATTATTGTTTATATATTTCTTTATTTATTAATCAATAATTGATGAATTATTATTAATTATTTCAAAATCAAGTAGTTTTTTAGAGGAATCCTAGAAAATGAAAGTAGAAAGATTGAACGCAAATTATTTTAAAATCAAATACAATTTGAATATCCGTTTATTGAGAAACTGGTACAAAATAATACTGTAAAATCACAAATTTTCTAAAGGTAAGATTTTCGCAGTTTGAGGAAAATATATTGGTTCATGGGATTTGATAAGTGATTTCTCAGTAATGTAATGATTCTAGATAAAATATGTTAATTAACGAGGTTAGCAGCTTTAGCCATCGAGTAGAAGATCCCGGATCTATCCTCCAGTAGTTTTTGTGGGGCTCCAAACTCGACTATCAATCCTTTGTCCATTACCATTATTCTGTTAAAATATAATATTAAAATTCATCATAAGATTGTCACTTAAGTGTCCTCTAAACTTTAATTTATCATAATCCATTACAGTGTTAAGTCTATGAGCTGGAGACAGTACCTTACGTATCATAATTCATTACAGTGTTGAGTCTATGAGCTAAAGACAATAACTCATCTATCGTACTCCATCACAGTGTTGAGTCTATGAGCTATAAACCGTATTTTACCTATCGTAATCCATTACAGTGTTGAGTCTATGAGCTATGCACAGTCACTCACCTTTCATAATCCATCACAATGTTCAGTCTATGGGCTATAGACAGTAACTCTCCTATCATAATATCCATAACAGTGTTGAGTCTATGAGCTATAGACAGTACCTTACCTATCGTAAACCATCACAGTGTTGAGTCTATGAGCTATAGACAGTAACTTACCTATCGTAAACCATCACAGTGTTGAGTCTATGAGCTATAGACAGTACAGTACAGTCACTGAACTCTGATTTAATCGTCCTCTGGATCAGTTCGTCTGTCTCTACATCCACGGCTGCCGTGGCTTCGTCCAGAATCAGGATCTTTGTCTTGTGTAGTAGAGTTCTAGCTAGACACACCAACTGTCGCTGACCAACGCTACGTAAGAGATATAAAATGTACATTAATACATAGATATAATCCAAAATGGAGTTTTTTCTAACATGGAATGAATAAATAAACTAGAGATACTCTTATTATCACACATTTTATAAGTGACAAAATTGCATATTGCATCATCCATATTAAAAGACAAACATATATATAAATACCTCTTTCTAATTATTCTGAGAATCGGTAGGAGAGGTGCAGAAAAAATTCAAGATCCTTTATTTGCAGACTCGCATTAAAAAAATGTGAAGATGTACTTAACTGAGCCTCACACTTGTTGAGAAGGAGTAATTTTCCTAACAAAATAACTTGGCGTATGTAATTTATTATGAAGATCAACCGAATTAATTTGTGACTGAAACATTTAAAAAAATGGACTTTATCTGTTATCATATGTTTTGAAATATTCACTTTCTAAAATCAGATACTGTGATTCTTCAAAAACAAATATTTTACCTGAAGTTCTCATGAGACGTTTTCACATAACGTTTTCATCCATACTTTTTCCTTAAGTTCTCATCTGAATTTTTCACACCAAGTTTTAATCAAAATTTTCGCCCGAAGTTTTCTCTTGATCTTTAACTTGAGTTCTGACTTGGGCTTTCACTTGAGACCTCTATTTTTCACATGAGCTCTTACCTTAAGTTTTGACCTCCTTCCCCACACTCGTAATCTAGCTGCCCTACACAGTTAGTGATGAAATCTTTCATATGAGCTCTCTCTATCGCAACCCAAAGATCCTGATCTGAAAATCTCTGGAGCGGATCCAAGTTAGAACGGATTGATCCAGAAAATATGACAGGATCCTGAAAAAAATACAACGATTTTATATTTGCCAAGATTTTTTTGTACTTAAGGTCAACGTAGAAATGTCAATAATTATTTAGTACATCTACCAAAGTGTAGAAAGCATAATAAACTTTTTCAGTAATTATTCCGCACTTAAGTCCAAAGTAATAAGAAAATGCAAAAAAAAAAATCTTGATATCTTACATCAAATTAAAATACCAATTGAAAGTAAATAAAAAAATTACTGAGCATTTAGACAAAAAAAAAAGACGAGGAACATAAAAAATATTGATGCAATTACTCAATACATTAGAACAAAGTATTTCAGAAATATAAATCAACTATAAATCACTACTATGAAGTGAAGTAGAAGGAATGATAAAGATATAAGTCGGTAGTTATGCAATTATTTATACTGTAATGCTACATAACAATAAGATTTTTGCTAAAACCCCACATGAAAGATACCCGAATTCATTTTGAAGAAATGACTTACCTGCGGTAGTATTGTTATTTTAGATCTTAAGTCATGTAGACCCATAGAAGATATCGACATATCATCAATTCTAATGTCTCCTCCAGCTGGTTCAATGATGCGGAACAGTGCCAGCGTCACGGATGATTTCCCAGCTCCTGTTCTGCCTACAATACCTATCTAGGTAAGAAAAATATAATTTTTTAAATATAACTAAAATATGTATCCATGAAAAAAAAACCCAGGAATTAAAATGAAGAAAAATGGTTTCTTTAATTTCGATTTTGCTTATTTTACATCACTCTAACAGGATGGGCACAGTTCATTTTTCGGGGAAGTGTTACTTTAAAAGGGAACTATTACTCTTTTCAGTAATAAAAACATTACTGAATTCGTGAATTTTCACTCATTTAGCATCTATTCTCGTGTTTGTTTTGAATAAAAGAAAAAGTGCAAGAATATTTTCACATCCTCTAAATATTTATTGTCAATTAAGTATATGTGTGCTAAAAACTGCAATATTTATTGCTGCAAAAAACTGAAAAAGAGTGATGAAATATTTCTATGATATAAATTTTTTACGGTAGCTTACCTGTGTTAAAATTGTGATAATAGATACGTTCAGCACTTGCTAACTCGTTCATGAGTTTATTCGTTCTAAATTAATTCTATACTATTTCTTTAAATGAAATCGTAATAATAATATTAAATATCATAGCTTCTTTTACAGATAAAAATAGTTATTTGAAATATTAAATTTCAAACGAAATTCTTTTTAAATGGTCCTGGAATGAATGCCCCTTTTAGATTCCATACTTTTGGTACCATTTATCAACATGGAAAATTATTAAGGACATACGCAACGTACCTTACCTACTGATAATTTTCCAAGATATTCTAAGTTTAAACTTATAATATCATTACATGTTCTTAGACAAAAAATCAGCATGCCTTACTAGGGATTTTGAAAAGATATCGAATTTTGAACGTTTTTGCATAATTCAAATAAAAATTTACAAAAATTATAAAACATAAATTCCAGATTTTTTTTCATCAAAAATTGTTTTAGAAGAGGTGTACAAATTCATATATAGACATTAAAAATATTGCACACAGTTCCTTCATTTAGTGGAACTCTTCAACTCCAGGGAAGACTCCAAAAAAGTTCAAACTACGTTGCGTATGACCTTAAATCTCAACTTACTCTTGTCTGCAGCAATGGAGGTCCGAATTTTTCAGTCAGCGAGGTTTGTTTGATAAAGATTAAACACATCACATTGTATTTTTATGCACTTTTTATTTAATGAATGGATTAGAGGCATTATTTTTAAACTGTGGGTCTATGAGAAAACCAGGCAGGGGGCCATACATGAAGTGTCACTCACATTAATGAAATTTTCCCAAAAGACTCCAACAATATAGCATACAATCACAAGAAAAAAATTTTCTGAAAATTTTCAATATTGGGGCCCACCAAGGGGGTACCCCATAAGCCACCATCTTTATCATTATTTGGTATTCACAATTTTATAAAAATTGCTATTTTCATTCACCATTCTCTTCTTTTCATTAAAATATTGAGTGATCAAAAGTAAGAACAAAAGAAAATATATATTATTTATTACATTTTGCACAAATTTTTTTTGTCTTAAAAATCAATGCTATATTTAAACACAGGGGGAATAACTCTTGATATAAAAGAGACTGAAAAATGTTGGAAAAGGGTCGATATTGGACATGTTTTAAAACTGGGTTTGGACGCTTCGATTTTAAATTATTTTGTTTTAAGATAAAGATTGTGAACTTAATAATAATTTCCTACAGGCAATTATTCGGGTTTTGATTATTGGTGACACTGTGCGATTTTGAAATTGAGGAATTTTTCCAAAAAATTGTGATTTTTTGCGACAGAGTTATTTCCCTTCGTTTCATACTTTTATAAACTATATTAGGCTACTATTTAAAAAATCAATATTTTCACTTCAAAAATGTATGTACAGTGACTGAACATTTTGGTAAAAATACTTATGTACATGTGGATAGACCAGTAGTCTCTGAGGAGACTGTAGCTCCACTGTTTTTTTTTAACAAAGGATGAAAAAAGTAGCCAGGACAATATTAGTTGATGCATATTTTCTTGCACAATCTATTTTGTACTTTGTTAAACCATGCGACATTTTACAAAGTTCAGTTTTTGAAAAGTTGTTCACAAAAAATGATAGAATCTGTACTTGACTCTGATGCCCATCAGCCTGATGATCCTGATCGTATGCTTTATTAAGGCTTCTGTAAATGCATCAGTTTCTATCTTTTTTCCTCCAGCATGTAATATTTTTTATATAACAAGTGCATTAAAGCATTTTCTTGCAAGGTGCAATGCATTCAAAGGCACACTGAATAACTTCATTGGCTTTCTGTGTCACATAGTCTTTTATGGACTGCTGTACCTCATCCAATGATGTATTCAGGGTGAAGCGTAAGGGCGTGAATTTACCATCAGACAGTTTCATACTCCTGTTTACCTTTTCTCGATAGTATGTGGGTCGTCTTCAGTAGTCATATACAGTTCCTTAGGATGACTGACTCAGACAAAACTCTGTATTCTGACTGGATTGCTCTGAAAAAGATAAGTTTTGATAAGAGATATTGTAAATGTTGAAGACGACATAATTCTGACTATAATCACACTTCAAAGACAATTCTTCCATGGAATATTAAACATAAGAGGCTCATGGGCCATATCGTTCACCTAGGCACTGTGGCTAGGAAAAAAGCAGAAATCAGTTCAGTATTTTTTTCCCATACAAGTATAAACTTTGATTATCGATCGTGGCCCCGCCCCAGCCCTGGGGGTCATGATTTGAACAGATATGAATCTACACTACCCCACTGGCCAGGATGCTTCCCTATAAGTTTCATCTTTCCTAACACACTGTGGTTCTTAAGGATGTACAACACACCTACCCCAAAATATTCCTGTCGTTTAATTTTCGCTGTTTTGTATATTTAGTACATGACTATATCTACTGTGTGTACGCACATTTTGGACAAAATCGTTAGAGTGGTTTTTGGACAGGAAATTCCAAAAGTTACCCCCCTTTAGTTGTTTACGGGAAGACAAACTTTTTAATAAATAAACTACTTAAACCTTGATTTTCAAAAAAGCCAGGTTAGCTATAGCTGTCAAATTTCATTGACTTATTCCTTTAACCATTTAACACAGAAACAAGAAAATTAAAAAAAAAAATGTTTTTGCAGATGTCACAGCCAAGGTCACAAGGTCATAGACCTTGGTGTCATTTGAAAGAACTTAATTAAGTAAGCATGCCAAATATGAAGTCTCTATCTCCCATGGTTCAAAAGTTATGGTGAAGGTTAAAGTTGACAACAGACAAACAGATAAACAGACAGGATAAAAACAATATACACCTCAGATCTACCGATCTGGGTGCATAAAAAAGAAGTCTGTGTGTCAATGCTCAGTAGTAATACCCCCACTCTAATAAAAATATATGCTCTCAATCTCATTATGGGTTTTGGTGAAATAAAGGTTTTTATTTTTAATTGGAACTTCATAGGGATTTTCAAAAATGTCTTGAATTTTCAATAAACTGTAAATGCAGAAATAATCATTGGATATTCATTTTCATTTATTTTGTTGTTATAGGTACCAGTACTACTGAGTTTTACTTTGGAAACAACAAAATTTAATGCCTGGAAACTTTTTTTAGGTGACAAATCAATGAAATTTTATCCCTACTAAAATTTGTGCTTCTACAAAAGGATGAAAATATCTCATGTCAGATATGAAAAGACAAATTGTCATTAACTTCTTTTTCCATCTTAATTAATTTACCAACAGATATTTTATTAGTTTGAATTTTAATTTAGTCATTACATAGAGAAATTAAGCTTAAAATATTCAAAAGTACATGACCAACATATGGTGCAGAGCAATGGATGAATACGGATAGCAACAGTTTACCTTATAGTAAACCAAATTTGTAAAAATAAATAAACTAGATATGTACCTTCCACCCCTGAGGTGTGTTGAGAAACAGCTGGACACTGTTCATTGTCACATTCTATTTTCTCTTCAATATCCTCAGTACCAAGCTTAAAAAATTCAGCTGAAATAACAAAAAATATGATTTACATCATTTACATGACAATGTGATAGTCAGTAATGCAGACAAAAGTCATCTATTTTCAAAATTATAGCCCTTACTCTAGCTTCTTATACTTTAATGAATATTTATCATTTTATATATTGTATTTATATTTTACCGGGTAATTTATTTTCTCTTTTTATACACGAGTGGGAATTTATTTCTAAATAATTTGATCACTAGGAATAGTATTCTCACTATTCTGGCTTCAGAGCAATACAGTAAAACACAGATCAACTTATAAAAATCTACAGGATTTCAACCTCACTTTTACAAGAGGAACTAATTCATATGTATAGTTTAAAATAGAGTTTGATTGGCTGTTTTATTTCTCCATTTTTTTGTTTTTGGACAAAGAGAGTATATGGGATGTGTTAATTGGGTTGTAATTTAACTGCCTACATGATTACATGAAGCCCCTTTTAAAAACTTTCCACAGATTCCTTGATATAAATGAAGTAATCATTTACAAAACTGTTTATGTACTCTGACTTTTTTTTGGTAGGTACATCTGTAGTTTTGTTGTTGTGTAATTTAGCACATTGAAGACCAACTTCAAAATTTATTAGTGCTTTCTGTTGTACTTGTGCAGTAAACATATAGCAAGATCATTTATTCATTGCTTTATAAATTTTCATGTGACAATAATTCCCCAATTGAGTAATATTTTTATTACTGAAAAGTGTAATAATACTTCCCCGAAAAAAGGAACTGTGCCCAACCTGTTTAACACTTGATGGATATGATGAGAAATTTTAAACAGCCAACGTAGCTGTCGATAAATTTTGAATTTTTTTTTTTGCAATTTTTTACCTTAATATTCCTAATTTGCTTAAAAGTGACAATTTATTATTTTTTCTTTAAAAAACTTTATCAACAAAGTCTTCTCGTAGCCGAATGAGAATGTTGCCAAACCTTTTCGCCCCCTTTATGAGTTTTTCACCCTATCTTTGGACTTTCAATAGGGCGTGACTTTCTCGGCTCTACGTAAAAGCGAATACTAGTAGATTCTCATTGGTTACGAAATTAATAACATCAGGAACTTTAAATTGTTGTTGATAACGATGAGACGACTTATGCCCCACCTCTGTGTCGTGAGAGAACTTTTGATTGGCTATTTACTACATTCGACCGCATATCTATCACATGTATATTTCAACAGTGATGGGAAGCTGTGTAAATTTCAGAAGCTAATTAGGTAACGTTGAGAATGCCACCCCTTACTGAAAGTCCAAACTAAGCCTGTAATGGTAATAATGACACAGTCGAGTCCTCTCAGCACGAGGTCTAAACCTTCCCGGTACCGGGTGGTGTAGGATTTGAATTCAACTTCCCCCGTTTCAGGCCAAGTAAATGATGGACGGTTCTTGGGTTCAATCCATTCAGCCTGTAAATATTACATTTTATGCAAATGCCGATGAAACTTATCATGTTTAAAGTGGATTTATTAATTTTTCAAAGATGAAATGATTAACATGGACCTATATATGAGTTGGACAATTGGTTGTGACTATAACTTTGATATGATTTAGTTCACCTCTGGTGGAAGTCTCGTGAATTCCTCTACCCTTTCTGCTGACACAATATTCATCTCCATCTCGCTGACAGATTGGACGACCAGATTTAAGGAATAACTGTCTTATTTTTCGAATTCATGAAGTGATCAATGGAATGGCTTGTGTGATAATTTGCATAAACGCCGAAGGCGTTTATGCATAAAATTATCACACAAACCAATCCATTGATCATCTTCATGAATTCGAAAAATAAGACAGTTATTCCTTATATTTACATGCTTTGATTCCGCCAATCCATAGGCTCTAAGCCTGCTTCTCTCTAGGTGTTTTCCCGCCCTGCACGTGGTTTTTTTGGAACCGCGCCAAAACATTCATGAGGAAATCAATTACATTTACATTTGGTAATTTTATCTCGGACAAAGACATTGGAAATGTAAATATTCAGGGATATTACAACCTATAAACAAAAATATTACTCACTGCTCGGATTCTGTAATGAGTATGTTATACCCGTAATGTGTATGTTATATACCTATTCCCCATTTTCAAAAGGTGAGTTATATCCCCTGAAGGGAACTCTTTTACTGTGTTTAATACGCATGCGCTATAAATAAAGTCACTTCCGCGGACGTTCTTGATGTAAACATGTTCATGCTGTCATATGGAAAAATGTTATTGTGTTTGTGAATAAAAAGAAATCTTAACTGATTCGTATTTTTTTTAATTGCCCACTCATAGTCTCTTTCTGGATTTGTATTAATCTGTGTAGTACTATAATAAGGTGCTGTGTGACCCCCCCCCCCTTACAAAAAAAAAAAAAAAAACGAAACAAATTACTGATAAAATGCTGATACATATTCGAATAGGCCTATTTAAAAAAAAAAAAGAAGAAAAAAAAATAATTAGCTAATTTTCGGATACCAAGAAACTGCGTTTTCCTCGATTGTATGTCATAACAAAGAACTTTTACTTACAAGAACACATTTGGTGACAATTAAAAGGCCTATTTCATTTGAATTAACAGTGTTTCTAGAATTTTTTATTTGTAAAATAATTGATTCACTATATAGTATTAAAACTTTGAATGGAATTCTAAATGAATAATTTAATCTCATGTCCTCATGTAACGAAGAAAGACTAATTAAACTGGCATTGACCTGAATACGTGTTACATATGTCGTATAAAGTCTGAGCTGCATTTAATCAAAGTTTTAGTGTAGGATTTAAGCATATGTACATTCCCGAGTAAAATACACATTTTGTTTTAGATCAGAGAATTGAGAGCAGAAACACGAAATTGATACAATAATTTCCTAGCGTATTTCTCGATAATTAACGGAAAACATTCTTTTCTCAAGTGTTACTTATTTTTTTTAAATCCTTTCAGTGTAAGTACATGTATTTATTTTTATGTTATTTTTATTGCAAAGTGTGTAAAAAAAACAATATCAGAGAGAGAGAGAGAGAGAGAGAGAGAGAGAGACTCATGTAACCCCGTGTAACTGACATACATGTACATCTGTGAAAAAATATATGTACCGTAATTTTATTGAATTCACAATTAATAATTCTAATAACTTTTAATTTTCACAACTATGGTTCATATTCAACTGGTCAACCCATTTACATATTCGTTCTTTGTACCTGTACGCATGGGGGGGGGGATCAAGGGGATTAGCCCCACCCCCACTTTTTTCCCAATATTACTTTTTCTATTGAAAATGTTCATTGATAGACAGGTTGACGACCACCCCCCCCCCCCACACACACACTCACAGAGTTAATACTACGGTAAAGTTATATAAGGGAAATGTAGTATTGTAT